CTTGTCTTGTCTCAGCCCCCACCACCCTCACCCCCACCATCGCCTCCCCTCCCACGGCCCATAGTGACCACCTTAAGGGCAGCAGCACTTGCAGCCAGAAAGGTTGGTCCAAGTGAGGCAGGAGTGGGCAGTGAGATGCCCCAAGCTACATACTCAACCGCCCTGCTCACCACTGTTCTCAGCTCCCCATTCCCCAGAGGCAGACATGGACACAGGGGGGCTGCAAGGGCAGCGCTGCTCTCCCCTGAATGTGCCTGTGAGTCTGAATAACACGCAGATTTGGATTCAGTGTTTTGGGGGGCTTTGATACTCACAGACCCCGCTTTGAGTAGCAAGACGCCCAGATGAAAGAGTAGGAGCCCAGGGAGTGAGCCTGGTTCTCAGTCTGGGCTCATAAGACCTGTTCCTAGGAGAGAGAGGGAACCTGTGGTGGGCTGGGGTACAGCTCCTGGATCCCCACTGCTGTGGGAAAGGCGGGTGGAGGGGATTCGTCCATAAACATTCACCCCCACCCCCACCCCAATCTCAAAGCACTCACCCTCTTCCTATTCTAGGCCAAGAAGATGCTAGAATCTGCTCTTGCTGATGCAGCCCGTTTTGAGCGTGCTCTCCAGCTGAGAAACAAGGCCTGAGCCACACGGGCCCCTGGCCTGTGAGCTGCTCGCATCCCTTCAGCATTCTGCACCACCTCCCTGAGTCCCTGACCCCAGGGTCCGGCCTCTCCACAGTTTGGCCTCATCCCTGCCGGCCCCCACTGAACCAGGACCTCCCGGAGGCCTCCAAAAGCAATGTGCAGAGGGAGAGGCAGGGGATCGGGGCACAGAGTGAATGCTATCAAGCATCTCCCCACTTGGCCCCAGATGCTTCTGAGCGACTTTCACTCATGAGCCTCCCAAGGAGCACACTTGCCATGCGAGGTTTCTAGAGCTGCCCCCATTCCATGAGGAGGCGATGCAACCAGCACAGAGAGGGGAGCGGACTTTCGGGATGACACACAGCAAATAGGGACTGGCCAAGACTCGGACAACTGACCCTGATGCCGAAGCCCATTGAACCTGAGTCGGTGCTTATACAACAGTTGGTGGAGGAGGGGAATAAACTCAGGGATAAGGATAAAAGTGACCTCCAAGTTTTCTGTAATTCTCTTTTATATACATAGTAAAGTTTTTGAAGGAAGAAAACAACTTGGTGGGTCAGGAGAAAATGACTCTGGCAGACTCCCAGCCCCTTGGATAGGGCTGGGACCCCCTCGTACCTCCTACCTCCACCACACCACACCACACACACCAGAGTCCAGAGCCCAGGGAGAATACTGGCTTGGGCAGGGGATGGAGTGAGGGTGCTGATCACTAGCACCCTGTCCTAGGGGTGGTTTGTGGGAATGGAGCAGGTGGAAGGAAGCAGGGACGCTGGGGATGCCCAGCAGGGTGTGGACAGGCCAGCCTGTTGCGGCCAGACCACCTGCACAGTCCAGATCAGACCCCACCACTGGGCCAAGCACAGCGTTGCCCTGGAGACGGTCCCCAGGCCAGGCGGATGGTGCGGGTGTAGCCAGCTCCTAAGTGACAGGGCCCTGGTGGCGGCACAGCCCGCAGTCTCTTCCATGGAGACGGCACGCCACTCAGTCACAAGGTCCCACCGTTGTCCGCTGCACCCTCCCCGTGGACTGGCCCAGAGTCTAGGGCTAGGCCCCCAAGAGCAGGAGGTCCTGGGGGCAGGAGTGCTCAGGGGCGGGGATCAGCTCCAGATAACCCGCCAGAGCCCCTCAGCCTGTGGACCTGGCCTCAGCCCCCACCTCCTCACTCATCTTGGTTTGAAGCCCCCGGGCCTTGTGCCTTCACCCCAAGGCCTACCCTCCTGGCCCTAGTGTAAGTGCATGGCTTCCCAGAGCCCTCTGGGACCAGGCTGGAGGCTTCTAGACAGAACTGTGGGGACATGACCGCTGGCCCAAGCTCCCTCCACTGCCTTCCTCCAGCCAGCCAGTCCCTCTGCCACATTCTACAGTGGCCTGTCCCCTGCACCCCACCCACGCATGTGTCTGCCCCAACCTCTACTGCCTGCTCTCCACCTCTCAGACATGCCTCTCTGTTGGAACTCCTGACATCCTTGTTGG